TGAAACTCAAGTTTCCCAGCAAACCTGCCATCCCTCAAACTGGAGCAGGGCAGCCTGCGGCGGTGCAGACCCCGACGCCCCAGAGCGCAGTCAGGACACCGTCCATCAAGCTCAAACTCCCAGGCACGAGCACCCCTCGAACCGGTCCTGAAGAGTCCGCAAAGCCAAAGAAAAAGAAAAAGAACACAGATACTGCCGCCGAAACCCCGGGTTCGTCCTCCAAGAAACGCAAACGCGAAGCACGGCCGGGAGAAGACGACGATGAAGGAAATCGACCAGCACCAGCGCCTCCCAAGCCCGCAGCGTTTCGAAAACTCACGTTCAAGAAATCCCAAGCAACCCCTACATCCGCACCCAAACCCTCGGGCACAGCGCACCTGGCCTTCAAAATCAAGGGCAAGATCCCCAAGCGATCGTTGGGAGTGGGCTATGACTCCGAACTCGAGACGGAATATCAGAATGACAAGGGCGAGACATTGGTTGGTCGTGAGGTTGATCCAGTCATCCACGAAGGCTTTGTTCTACGAATGCAACCCGGGGAGGATTGTGATTACTTGCGCAAAGCGATTGAGGATGGGACGGCGGGTCAGGTACTTGCAAGAGGTGCACACGTCAATCTCAGAATGCTCGACACGCTGGGCAGAAGAGGCATTCTCCAGATCAAGGACCACAAGTACGCCACCACCCTGGTTGATCTCCCATGCATTATCGAAGGGATGAAGTCATGGGATAAGAAAGGGTGGATCAAGAGCATCGACATCTGCCAGATGCTTTTGGTGCTTGGCCGCTGCAACAACGAGGAGGAAGCCCGGAACTATCCTCTTCCCGAAGACGTTGACCCCAAAACCTATCAGTACGCCCATGGCCTCACTGCGCCCATGAAGTGGGTTCGAAAGAGAAGGTTTGCGAGAACAAAACGAGCACGAGTGGATGATATTGAGGCGGTTGAGCGGCGAGTCCACGCTCTCCTCGAGGCAGACAAGGCGGCCCTCAGCTCCAAGTATCAACTTTTAGACCATGATCCGCGCCTCGATGAACAAGGATACAGCACGGAACTGGAAGAAGATGAAGATGCCGAGGCCGAGCCAGAGGATTATTTCGACATAGCACCCGGTGTGCATGGTTCCATGGTCGAAACACCAATGCTCACCGAAACTCCTGTGCAGGAGGAAGTTGGACAAGATGACCTCGACGCTCTCGAGCGCATGTTCTTTGACGAGGACGCCGCACCTTCTACAGACACAGCCGGACAAGCTCGAAATACCTTGCACCCGCCTGAAGCGGGCGTCGACTCATCGTTCGCAGTGACTAGCACGTCAGCCTCCCCCTCTATGACGGCCGCACACACCCCCATCTCTGCAGAAGCTGCAGAAGCTTCTTCTGACGAGGACGAAGACGAGGATGCGGGAGATGACGATGAAGACCGAGACGATGCCGAGAAAGAGGGTGATGAGAATAAACGTCAAGTCATGGAGAGGATTGAGGATATGCAGAACAAGATTGCGGAGCAGAGAGAGCTGCTCAAGAAGACAACGAATGCCATCTTGAAGAAGAAGCTGGCGAGAAAGATTCAAGATCTGGAGGACGATGTTGCTATGATGAGGAAGAATGCCGGACTGGGTGGAGATGACGATGAGGACTGATCGGAGCGGGTTTGAGGAGAAGGGACTATGGAGGATTGTGCCTTGAAAGATGGACAGTCATATTGCATGTTGCTTCTCTTGATATTCCTTGGTAGAGATGGAGACGGAGGAAAAAGCATGTCGCCTTCACCCCGATCCATGCACTCAATATTGAATCAGGTTGAAACTGAGACCGAATGTTGGGTCAATCAGCTGTACATTGTTATCAATATTGTCAGGATTCAAATGTCCTTGTTTTCTCGTTGCCTCTTTTCTGTGCATGCGTTGTCTTCTGCGTCGCCTCACTTTGTAGATGGCATTGTCATCGAATGTTTGCAACGGTCGCCTGTTGGCCATTCTCTTTGCTTCTGTGTCTCTCATTTCATCGCCTTCTTCATGCAGATTACCACCGATAGGTATACAACCCGCCAGAGATGAATTCCTCCTTGCTCTACCTTGGGCCCAGGTGGTTTCCAGCGACAAAGACAACACGATCACTCTTCTCTGGCATACGTTGCGACGATATCTAGCTGCGATGCGGCAATAACCCTTGTTATTTGATATCCATGAGGGTGATGCCCGTGTATATCGCCAAATATCGTTTATTCCCAGTCGGTGCCTAGGCTGCATTTTACTAGATGGAGTTTTGTACATGGTACAACCCCTGAGTTGCCTTGTCTTGCTTGTCCAGACAACTGTCCGCACCTGCGCTCTACTCGACAGGAATTGACCCCATATCCTCATGTCTGGTTCCATCCTCATCTACCAGGCTTTACTGACTATCCTCCTAGTAAAAGTGTGAAATGTCTCAAGATGAGCTTTGCACTGTGTCCCGGGACCGAGTGAGGTCAATATACCTGGACGGCCTCAAGTGGAAATCAGGCAACCCAAAGGGCATTCCGCCTACATTCCTCCCTCGCGACACCAGTTATCACTCCGACAAGGACCTGCTGATATCCTTTACGAGCGAGCAAGCAAATCGCCGAGCTCGCGATTGGTGTCAGGCCTACTACTATGCCGCACAAGATCCAGAACACCATATCCATCTACTAGACAGGGCAGTGGGCGCGCTTCTTCGCTGCAACTTTGAGGGAGTCCTCAGCGAGGATGCCATCATTACCCAGACATGCGCTCTGTTATCGCGTCTGCCTCGGACGCCTCAGCTTCCAGCCTCAATATCGGCGCAGTTCAATGGGGCTGCTTTGCCTTGGCTCTATTTCAGAGCCCGTCACTCCGGCTGCGTGAGGCTTGACCGGGCCAGCTGGCACGAGTTGCTCGTAACCAACTGGGTCGATACCAGCTCCATCCGTCTGGCGCTGACCATCGTTCAGATCCGCGATGAGATGATAGACACGACGCAGACCTTCGTGGACACTCTGGCAGAGTTGACGGCAACAGCTTTCGACCTGTCCGCCAAAACAAAAGATACCGCCGATCACAGGCACTGGCTGGTGGCCAAAAGCTTCCTGTGGACGTGCTGGTGCCGCAGTCTGATGCTTCACTTCCACTATCATCTGGGCATGCAACTACGAGCCGGGTACGATGCTGAACGAAATGAGTCGCTGAACATGCGTCAACCACTGCCAGGCCACGACGGAGAGACTCCGAATTCCCTCGAGGCACTGCCACAGTATATGTGCAAGTGGGCCTTTGCGCTGCTGAGGTTGGATAGGGCGTCTATCGGCCAAGATTTCCGCGACTTTCGACGCCGATTCGGTGCCATGTTCAACGACAAGCCAGCAAGATGCATTCTTTCGTCTTCGCAGGCCTGTAATGGACAAGGACCAGAACATTGCCAACGGTTCACGGGCATGACAATAGTCGACCAATCGGCCCACGATTTCCGGTGCAACGGTGGTTGTGACAAGATGTTCTGGGACGAATATAGTTATCGCAACATCGAGGGCGCCAGAGCCGTGTCGGTCAAGGACTCTGACAATGTCGCCATTCGATACTGTCAAGCGTCTTCCCGGACACTCAGTGTCTCACATGTATGGGCTCATGGTGCGGGAGGGAGACCTCATACGGGGATGAATGCTTGTCTACACGCACGACTGATACAGCTGGCCCACGAAAATAAATGTGACTCTTACTGGATGGACACGTCTTGTATTCCCGAGAATCATGACCTTCGTGCGGAGGCTATAGCTAACATCAACAAGATCTTCACCATCAGCCGGATGACACTGATCTGGGATCGCGACATCATGTCCATTGATATCAGCGACGGCTCGATCGAGACATGGGAGACCCTACTCTCGACGCTTCTGGTCTGTGATTGGAATGTCCGGTCTTGGACGCTGCTCGAGTCGATGAGGGCCCGTCACACCGTCCATCTCCTGTGCAAATACAACAGAATCATCTCGGTCAAGGAATGCCTGACAAAGGTCCACGAACAGGGGTCAATGGCCATCGCCAACCTCTTCCTCACCCATCAGCAGCTCCTCCCGGCTCAACCACCTTCGCCGTTTGACAAAAATCCCCGAGGAGATATTGCCCGGCGGCGAGACGGGTACATCTCGGTGGAAGAGTCTATCTGCCTGCTGGCGTACCGCCACGCCTCGCGCCCAGGCGACAGTACTGTCATCATGAGCTTGTTGCACGATACCACGCCCGCGTACACTGCCGAGATGTTTTGGAAATCCAAAATCAACAGCATCATCCACACGGGCGTCCTGTTCTCCTCCCTTCCCAGACTACAGTGCAAAGGTTTCGGTTGGGCTCCGGCCCAACCAGAGGTCTCTCGACTGACCACCACCTCCACCACCTCATCGAATGCAACATCCTTACTATCATCACCATTGCATCTGGTGTACGACGGCGCGGGAACATCCGTCGCGCTCATCACAGACAAAGGCCTCGATGCAACGTTTACTACTTTTGAAGTATCCGGTCCCTCGCCAAGCGGGTTCCCCGCGAGTGTCAAGGCCTTCAAGGACACTTTCGCGCGTGGCGATCGTAAGGGAGTTGATTGTCCGTCACGTCGAGCCTGGGAGGAATTCAAGCTGCACAAATACCGCCACGCGAGGTTTGTGCTCGCTGCAAAGGTGGTCGCGTCTAGCGGTTACTATGTCTATCGAGGACCTCGACATGGCACCGTCTTTGGGGTAGTTGGCTCGAATGACAAAGCTCACAAGATTTGGCACTGGCTCGGCGTCTTTGAATGGGACGCTGCAGCTCCGTGGCCTCCAATGAGACGAGAGGTGGAGGACATCTTCCTGGTGTGAAGACAGGCCCAATTAGCGTCAAGGGGGAGAAGGCCACGTTGACTTGAATTTCCCCTTTGACTTTGTCGGTCAGATATTGATCCTGGCAAGGAAGCTGCGTCAATGTCTTCCATGGAAACCCCCTCTCAATCCAGGCGACTCTGCAGCACTGTTACAAGTCCTCCATCTGACCGAAGCCAAAATGTCCCGAAAGCAGCTGCTCCCATTGCGTCCACTCGTTCGGGTCCATCTCAAATGAAACGAGATCGGGGAAGTTATAGTCAAGGGTATCAGACTCGAGCAGATAACCACCACCCTGGTTTCCAGCCTGAAAATTTCCCAGGCTGGCAAAGTCCTGATCACTCGGCCGCCGACCAGAACTCTGTCTGGACGCCCTGAAACTTTGGCGCATCGCCGTAATGTACTCGGGCGTCACTGGCTCCGGGAGACCCTCTGATCTCGCGGTGGCGACATGGTCGTCCCAGACCTCCAGGGTCCATTTACTCAGTGCCAGGTACACTGGGCCCGTGGATTCCTTGAAGGCCTCGGATTTCTGCGAAATCACCACGCCAATCAGCTGCCACAGGCGATCAAGCTCGGGTCCTGGCTTGCGATGTCGCGCCTCGATGAGGACGCAGAGCATTGTGTCCCAGAGATAGCTCGTGCTGATGCGCCACGCGTACTTTTGCAGTGCCTGGTTGCCAAACACCAAGACGGCGTATTCCAGCAGTTTCGCGGCGTTGGCAAAGACAATGTCTCGCTCCGCCTGTGGGATTTTGACCCGTCGTCCAGCGAACCGTCGTCGTGGACTGTGGGCGAGGAGCCTCATCTTACATATTCCAGACCGGATCATGACGGATGTAAAGGTATGCAAGGGGTTCGACGGGTCGCAGTATCGGAGATACTTTCTCTCCCAAAGATCCTGCATCTGGTTTATGACGCTGTCCTTCTTGGCCGTGGTGGTGTCTGGACTCGTGAGGATGTCCCAGTGAACACCATTCGACAGTGGGGAGGCGAGGCTGCGCAGGGAGTTCATGATATCACACCGGACGAGGCACATGGCAATCGAGGTGATGCCATCCCGCTCGGGTGGGGGGTCGACCATGTCGGGACTAAGGTCTTCATCCTCGACATTGAGAGGCATCTTGGTGTCTCCAATGGTCAGATCGAGGGACGGTCTCATACCCAACATGTCGGCGGCGCGGAAGTCGATGTGCACAATGTGCCACCAGAGCCGACGCCGCATTTCCGTCTCGAAGAGCGACAGGCCCAGCGATTCCCCGTCGCGGTGGAGACCCATTTTGAGCGCCAGCCGCACGGCCACTCCTGACAAGATGAACTGGGTGTCATGTCGAAGGCACATTCTTACGCCAACCTACACAGCATGTGTTAGGACAATTCAGAACAGAAACTTCAGAGGAGTACGTGATCTCTACCAGGAACAACGAAAATGCTCGCAAGGTCATGAGACTTGAAGTTTGCAGGAGTCCAGCATTGATCAAGGCCTGCCGAGCCATCGATCGATATCGCGTCAGCATGACCGGTCGTGGTCCTCCCAGCAGACGATGGCATTCGTCGTCATCTAGCGCGCGGACTGCAGCAAGGCAAAACCCAAACATGGCCGCCGTCAGGCTGTTGGGTGTCTCGCGTGGATGTTGCAGTGCATTGGTCAACGAGGCCCAGAATGTCGGGATGTGCAGAAACTTCATGACCGGATCGATTCGGTCCACGTAGATATCCTTCAGCTTGCGCAGGACCTCCATAGGGGGGAAGTAATCGACGAGGTCGAAGGTGTTGGAGGTGCTGGAGCGATGAGGAAGGCTTGCTTGGTCGAGCGGACCTAGAAACAGGGCACATTCGCTCACGCTGGCCTCGTCCAAGACGCCATCGGGGGCGTATTCGTCCGGATGATGAAACTATCGACGGAGTGTGTTAGAAGAGGATGCTTCTTGAATATGGGTCTTCGCCAACACTCTCACCTTGTCTCCCAAGTTGGACCAGAGGGCGCTGTGGATAGGGTAGGACTTAGACACTGTTCACTAGGGAAAGGGACGCCAGGGTCTCAAACCTGTCAAAGTATCTCGAGTTGCCTTCTCTCGTGACCAGCTTTGTTCTAGCCAGACCAAGTCCTCCAGGAGCACCGGAGCCGTCGACGTCGACATCGACATGAGGCTCACTGTCTTTGTGGACCATAGCCGCATCGTATTTATCACATGATTCCATATCCGAGCCATCGTCACTGTCCAGCGACGGTTCGATCTTCGCGCCATACGCCCTGAGCATCTCTTCGTACCGTCTCAGTCTGGCGTGCAGTCCTTCGCGCGCGGGCTTCGTCCTCTTCCGCTTGCCGCGCGTCGGCGGGACGAAGCTACATTGTGTGTCTCCCTTGACGCAGTTGGCGCATGGAGACTGGCGGTCGCACTTGATTTTGCGCTGGCGACAGACCAAGCAGGAGAAGCCTTTGGCGTCTGCGGTTGTGTCTGTCGCTGTCGCGGGGTCCTCAGTCAGGGGGCGCGACATGGTTAAGTTTCACTTTATTTCTCCCTCGCTTTTGGGAAATACTCGGTGGTCGGAGAGAGGGGTTATTTTGTAGAGATGGGAGGATTTGTTGATGTGGTGGTGGTATTTCACCTGATGTTGATCTCGGCGCTCGGAAGGTCAAAAATCAACATTTGAGCCCCGAGAGGCGAAGCGAAGTGAATACAACGCAAAAAAGGGGGACAAATTCAACCACAAGCAGGCTACCACCAACTACCAAAAGCCAGGTACTTAAGGAAGCGGGCTGTCAGGTCTGCAGACTGCGGACATGGACTCTCCAGCTTGCCTCAGTTCACATCTCTATTCCTGCGCAGCACGAGTCCCAGCATTGCTTCCACCATGACACGAACCTCTTCACACGACGACGATGATGCCAAACATGACCCAGAGGCGGACACCCAGCAGAAGAGTGTTGGGACAGATGATGGATATCCCAGCATGCGGAAGAGGATCCTGATCATGCTCGCAGGCTACCTTGCCATATTCCTGGTTACTTTGGTACTTCCAATGCCTTTACAATCTCTCCCACCTCGACTGACCAACTCCTCTAGGACCAAAACATCATATCCACGGCCATCCCACGAATCACCGACGAGTTCGACTCCATCGCAGACATTGGGTGGTATGGCAGCGCGTACCTGCTCACCATGTGCAGCTTCCAGCTCCTCATGGGCAAGGTCTACAAGTTCTACCCGGCAAAACCCGTCTTCCTGTCGGGCATTGTGCTCTTTGAAGTCGGCTCAGCAGTGTGTGGATCGGCGCCAAGCTCTGTGGCCTTCATCATCGGTCGCGCCGTTGCAGGCCTGGGTGCGTCAGGCATGTTCTCGGGCGTCATGGTCATCCTGTTCCACACCGTCCCTCTTCAGCAACGGCCGATCTGGCAGGGTGCTTTTGGGGGTATCTTTGCGATTGCGTCCGTCATCGGGCCTCTGGTCGGAGGGGCATTCACCGATAACGTCACCTGGAGATGGTGTTTCTACATCAACCTCCCCATCGGCGCCGTGGTCGTGGTCGTCACCATGGTCGTCCTGCGCCTTTCCCACCAAAAACTCGACAAACGCGCCCCCGGGATCCTGGGTAAGGTGAAGCAGCTCGACCCCCTGGGAAACCTGGTGTTCTTCCCCGGCATCATTTGTCTGATCCTGGCTCTCCAGTGGGGAGGGACCACGTACTCGTGGGACAATGCGAGAGTCATTGTCCTGCTGGTTCTCTGTGCCGTACTCTGCCTGGCCTTTGGGGGAATCCAGGTCTGGAAACAAGAAGACGGCACCGTCCCTCCCCGGATCATCAAGCAGCGCAGCGTGGCGGCTGCGCTGTGGTTCTCGTTTTTCAATGGCGCCGGCGTCATGGTCACCGTTTACTACCTGCCCATCTGGTTCCAGGCCATCAAGGGGGTCAGCGCCGTCAAGTCGGGCATCATGCTGCTCCCGCTGGTGCTGTCGTCGGTCATCGCCTCCATCTCGTCGGGCATCATCATCAGTCGCGTTGGCTACTACACGCCGTTCTTCATCCTCAGCTCTGTGGCCACGTCCATCGGCGCCGGCCTGTTATGCACTTTTACCTCGACGACAGCCCACCCGGCGTGGATCGGGTACCAGGTGATACTGGGGCTAGGCTTGGGCTTCGGCGCTCAACAGGGCCTGAACGTCGTGCAAACCGTCTTGGACCGTCCTGACATCGCCACCGGCACCGCCGTCGTCATGTTTCTGCGCTTCCTCGGCTCCGCCATCTTCCTGCCCGTCGCCGAGAACATATTCCTTAACGGCCTCGTCGCGAAACTGACGGCCGATCTGCCCGGCGTCGATCCCCACGCGGTGACCACGACCTCGGGCGCGACGGACCTGCGCAATCTCGCTGGTGGCAACGACCTGGCCGTCCTCCTGGCCGATTACAACGACGCCCTCGTCCATGTCTTTTACCTCGTCGTGGCGACTTGCGTCGCGACCATCTTGGGGAGTGTGCTGGTCGAGTGGCGCAGCTTGAAGGTTCGCGCTGCTGTTACTTCTGCTACTGCTAGTAGTGGAGGAGATGGTAGTGGTGAGGGTGATAACGAGCCGACTGAGTCCAAGGAGGCTGGCGAAGCGACAGAGCGAAAGGACTCCAACGCACAAAATGCTTAAAAGATGGGGAGGGGGGAACAGGGCCTCCTTTAGTTTGTTTTCTATACATCAAGGCGGTGCTGGTGGGTGGGCGGGCTGGGCATATCATCTCATATCATCTCCTATTCATTTTATACACTCTCCTCTCTTGTCTTCTCGGTTTCTTTTCTTTTATTCTACGGCCTCATGGAGGGCAATCCAACAGAACAGAGGGATTTTACTATTATTTTGGTGTCAGAGTTCTTCACACATACACACAGCTTGGGGGCGGTTGGACCTTTTGCTCGAAAAAAAAAAGAAATTTCTATTTTATTGTACATGTGCATGTACATGTACATCAATAGGGAGATGAATAGATTGAGAAAAACTCCTCTCTATGGGAGAAAAAAGGCAAAAGAGTCCTTCGCACGTCTTGGGAGTCATAAAATCCTTACCCATCTCGCCTGTTCCATCCCATCCCATCACGGTTTCCCTTTGCATCTGTATTCACCATGGTGCAAGGCAGAGGCGTCTAAGCACTGTGATTTTATCCGGGACGCAGGACAGAACCCGACAAATCCTCTTCATACTTCCCTGGACATGAATGGTAAGAATATCAGTTGACAAGATGCCAATTTCTGATCTATCTAGAAGAAAAAACTATGAATCAACGACCGCTGTCTATGACGGAAGCCACAACGCTGGGGTTTTCTGAGATGTTGGACGAAACTACCATATTGACTACCTAAGTGAGAGGATCACCGCGATGGAAGAGGATTCATAACAATGAGCATAACGATATGGTGACGCTGGTTGGTGGTTGGTGATGTTGACGTTGAAGAAGGATTCGCTTTCACGGCGACACATATACACACACACGCACACAGAGACTCTCTCTCTCTCTTCCTTTCCTCCATTCCTCTCCTCCGGTCTCCATCCGCATCTCCATTCCTGGCATCTCTTGACAACTCACTAACTGACTGACTGAAAGTTGACGCGATGATAAGAAGAAACAAACAAGTCTGTCTGACTAGTTGATCAAATCTCGACCGACTTCTCGGTCCGCTGCTCTCGTCGTCGCGGGATCGTCATGACCTGGTGGAGTTTGACGTCGGCGGGTTCAAACTGTCATGTGTGAGCGTGTCAGTCGGCCATCAGCCACGTATTAAACCACCCATCCCTGGGATCAGACGAACAGCCAACGCAGGAAAGAAGAGGTAAGGAGGAGAGAAAAGGATAAAAGCGAGGAAACAAAAAAGGCTAATTCTCACCTTATAAATCCTCAAGAGCGTGGCCCAGATCTTGTACAGCTCCAGCTGGACAATGTTCTTGCCGATGCAGCTGCGGCTGCCATGGCCAAAGACCAGCATGGAGCGGTGCATGCGGACCTTGCGCTCGCGGAACTCGTCCTCGGTCTCGCTGGGCTGCCGCATCCAGCGCTCCGGGTTGAAGGCGCGGGCGTCCTTGCCAAAGACGTGGGGCAGCATCGCCATGGACGCGGCGTTCATGGCGATGACGGTGCCGGGTGGCAAATGCGTGCCGTTGGGCAGCGTCAGGCCCGACGGTCCCGCGACGCGCTCGAGGTTGTTGGCCGGGGCGCCGAATTGGCGGTACGACTCCTGGATGACGGCGTCGAGGTACGGCATCTTCAGGGCCAGCTCGAGCGCCGCGGGACCCTCGGTGTCGACCTCCTTCATGGCCGCCATGTTGACGCTGCGGATCTCCTGGTTCAGCCGCTCCTGCGCCTCCGGGTGCTCCGTCAGCCAGTGGATGGTGGCGTCCATGGCGCGGGCGCTGTTGTTGGCCCCGGCGAGCACATTCGTGGCCGTGAGGTGGGTGATGCGCAGGTCCGTCATCAGCGGGTACGCCTTTCTCGCCGCAATGAAGCTCCCCAGGAGATCCTCGTGGCGGCGCGACGCCGACTGCGCCTCGGGGTCCTTGGACGCCTTGGCCAGACGCTCGCTGACCACGCGCCGCGCAAAGGTGAAGAACATGCTCGGCTTCTGCGTGACGAGCTTGAGGAAGGGGTTGCGCTTGGTCAGCGTGTCGAGCAGCGGGAAGTTGTTGGCCACGCTGATGTATCGAAAGTTCTCCCGCTGCGCCTGGATCATGCCGTTGAAGTCGTAGCCGTGGTCGAGGAAGCCGAGCGGCTCGCCGAACGAGATCTTGGACATGACATCAAAGGCCCCTTTTTGAGGACAGTGTCAGACCAATCTGCCACTTTAGTGAGCGGGTTGAACTCACAGTATTGAAGCCAACGAGTCATGTTGATCGGAGTCCCATCGGCGTCATGCTTGTCGAGCTCCTTGATCAGCTTTTCGATCGTCTCGTCAATGTACGGCTCGTAGCCCTTTAGAGAGGACAGCGAATAGGCGTGGGCAATGGGCCGCCTGTACATTCCGTGCGTCTTTTCATCCTTGATGCTGACCAGAGCGGTCTGGTCGGTGCCTGTGAGACGGATGAGCGGGTGCACTCTTTCCAGATGCAATTCACCAGTGGAATGGACATAATGATCTACCTACCGGTCATGACAAAGACTTGGTATCCGGGACCCTGATGCAACGAAGGTGATGATTAGCAATCACACTCCTCTAACACGACTCATTTCCACCCCCCCCCCCCCTTTTTCTCTGCAGACTCACTCACCTTATCCAGACGTTCCCTGAAGCCATAAATCGTATCAATCGCCTCGGGATCATAGACGAGGACATGCTTCGGTCCGATCCTCACCACGTCCCCGTACCGGCCGATCATGTTGATCTGGTAGTTGTTGACGGCCTCCTTGTGGTGGTTGAGCCTCCATGCCTGGTACCCGCGCCACAGGTTGGTGTACTTGGCCAGCCAAGGACCGGGGACATGGTCGAGGCCGGCCCGCTTGCTCTGGACGAACAGGTAGAGGATGAGACCGACGAAAACCGCCGCGGCGAGGTAGACGGGCGAGACGGCCGCGTGCTGGGTCAGCGGCGTGGAAAGCGCCATGTCGCGTTGCGTTGGCGTTCAAATTGATAAAGAAAGAAAAAAAGATGTCGTTGTTGTTGTTGCTGCAAAGGGTTCCAAAGGGCCCAAGTAAACGGACGGGGCAAGAGTGGGATGGGGAATAGTATGGCCAAGGAATTTCCAAGCAAAAGAGTCAAGCTCAAGGAGGCGGGCGGGCCAAGTGCTGATGGGGAGTATGGCGGCGGATGATGAGCCAAGGGGCTGGCTTTAAAAAAATGCTTGCGTTGCTTATGTACAAGTTTTCAAAGTCCCAGTCATTCTCCCCCCATGCATTCTGCTTCCTTCCTCCCCTCTCCCATTCTCTCCGAGCCCAACTGGGGGAAACGTATTTATGCTTACCCGAGGGACCAACAAGTCAACCTAGAGCCTTGTGATGTGTCCTCCCCCCCTCTCCCCTGCGACAGAAACCCAACTGCCGACCTGTCCCCAGAGGGCGGGGAGACAAGGGGGAGTTAAGAGGTAAGTGTAAGGTCTCTGGGGAAGATTCCCCCGCAGTTGTGTGTGTGGAGGAGGGGCCAATCATAGAGATGCCGAAGGCGCTCGGAACGGCTAGATCGGCTGCTTAGCTCAGCTTGGCGCTGGCCAAAAGAGGAAAGGATCGTATAGTGGTGCGTTATGATTGGGTTTTTAGATCCCAAGTGGCTGAGGGTATCCTCCCCCAGGCTATGTGGACAGCTTAGCCGGGTAGCTTAGCCTAGCCCTAGCCTGTGGGCGCTTCAGATCCATTCCCTTTCTTTGCGACGCGACCCCCCGTCTCTCTTGCCTATATCACTCGGAGAGTAGACCACGAGGGCACAAACCCCCTTATGCGGAGATTCCCCGACCTTGAGTTGTGAAGGCACCGAATCATCAAGTTGATTCTCTGGCAGAAAACAACTGCCGATACAACGTCTTCGGCACGGGAACCGACACGTGGTAGCCTGGTCACATTATCCCCAGACATCGTTTGTCACCGCACTGAAAGGCTTCTCTCATCTTCCTCCAGAACTCGAGAGAAAGTGTCAGCTTCACCACACACATAGTGTAGGTGTCGTGCTACCTCCCTTCATTGCATGTTGACTTTGATTGATCTCTCTGTCGTTTTGTATCTTGTAGTAAAGCAGCCATCATGAGCTCCACAGTTAATCCCGGACAGAACGAGCAGGTGGCTCCTGTCCAGGTCGCGGACAAGCCGTTGGGCGAACACCACGAGACGGCCGTCGAGCATGTCAAGGAGGTCAACGACGCCATTGCCAGGGTCGACTCTCACCTGGACAACACACACGTCGCGCTCGGCTGGCGATCATGGCTCGTGGTGCTCGTGACCATGTTTGGGTAAATATACCCTCTAACAGAATCTCACTGGGGATCTGTCTCTGTTGACACAGCGGCCAGCAACTTGACCTTGGTGTTCGTCGTCGTGGCCGCAGGTTCGGTCATTGCCTTTATCATTCGAGACTTGGGTCATCCCGGACTGGCCGGCTGGATCATCCAGGTACCTTGTTCGGTTCTTCTCTTCCAACCCGAAGTCAACCGCTAATGTGGTATCAAGGGCCCGCTCCTGGTTCAGAGCGTTCTGTGCCCCATCATAGGGAGGCTGTCGGACGTGGTAGACCGCAAATACCTCGCCTGCATTCAACTGTCGGTCGCCTTTGTCGGATCCGTCGTGTCTGCCACGGCCCATTCCATGAACACCTTGATAGGAGGAGGGATCCTGATCGGCGTGGGCCTTTCGTCCCTGGGCATCATTGTGGCCATCCCTGCCGAAGTGCTCCCGCTGAAGTACCGAGCCATTGCCAACGGAGCCAACTTTCTCGGCGGCGCCTTTGGAGGCCTGTAAGTCATTGTTTTCACACCTTGTAGTATCCCCGTATGTATGTGTGCGTCTTTCCCAACCAGGCTGCTGATATCACGGCCCCCCTCCCCGGCCATGTCGTGGTGAAGGGTTGGACAGCTCGGCGCCGGCGCCGTCACCAACGTCGAAAAGGACGGCTGGCGCAACATCTTCTGGATGCAAGCCGCCTTCCACGGCGCTACGGTCCTCATGCTCTTGGCCTTCTACTTCCCGCCCCGCCGCTCCGACTACCCCAAGATGACCTTTGTCGAGGTCCTGTGGTCGCTCGACCCCATCGGCGCCGTCCTCTTCGTCGGTGGCGCCACCCTGACTATTCTGTCATTGGACTGGACCGGCGGCACGTACGCGTGGAGCGACGCCCATGTCATCGCACCGCTTGTCATTGGCATCGTTCTGCTGATCTTGTTTGGGATCTATGGTAAGTCTGCCAGCCAAAAAGGGCTTGCTGGGGGCGGTATGGGCTAATGAAGGAATATAGAATGGAAAGGACGAACCGATGGAATTGTTGCCCATGTGAGCACGTCCTGAAAATTCCTTCCTCTTTTGGCACACGAGATACTGATTCTCGTCAAGGTCATGTTCAAGAACGGATATAATTTCCCTCTGGCTGTATTTGCCTTTGCGGTAGAAGGGTAAGTCTTTGTCCAACGCATGATCGATCCAGTTCAAGAACTCTGAGACGATTAACACTTTGACAAACAGATGGATCTTCTACAGCGCCGTCAACAGCGTGACTCCACAAGTGATTCTCAATCTCGGATGGGAGACGACGTCGTGGCAAATCTCGATCCGCCAACTGGCGTACCAACTGCCGACGATCGGTTTCTCGATTCCCATGGTGTAAGCCCTGCTGCATCTTTCCCCCTCTTAAGCTATGTTTCCTCAGAACTTCCCTCCCTTGATGTCTAATCACTCATCTATACACTTTGCTTACCACACACGACAAATCAGTCTCTACTCGACCAAATACAAAGACCTCAAGAACCCGCTGATCTTCACGTACACGGTCTTCCTGATCGTCTGCATCTGCTACGCGACCATCAAACCCAGCGAGAATCACGCACAGTACGCGTTCGCGGTGCTGGCGGGGATCGGACAGGCGGGCCCGCTCACGCTGATCCTGGCGCTGGTGCAGTTCGCGGCGCCGCACGCCTTCATCGCGACCGCGTCGGGGTTTGCGCTGTCGGCGCGGGCGATCGGGGGCGCGTTCGGGTCGGCGGTGCTCGACGCCATCATCAACGGCAAGATCGACGCGACGCTGGCGCGCGACGTGACGCGCGCGGCCACGGGCGCGGGCCTCCCCGCGAGCTCGGTGCCGGACCTGCTCGAGGCCATCGGCGCAGGCGAGGGGTTCGACGCCGTGCGCGGCCTCAACGGCACCATCCTCGACGCGGCCCTCGACGCCCGCAACTGGGCCTACGCCCGCGCCTACCGCCTCGCCTGGGCGAGCATCATTCCCTTTGTCGCCCTGGCCATCGTCGCCGTCATCTTCATCAAGCACGTCAAGGAGCTCATGACCGAGCACGTCGAGGCGAGTGTCGAGAGGAGGCCTGCCGCCGCCGCGGCCAGGAGAGACGAGGAGAAGAACTGATTTCCCATAACCCCTCCAAGAATGCACCGATATAGCATGAGTCTTTTGTTGCAATCTTTTGTAGAGACGGGGACACTGACCTGCCACGCATACACACACACACTCTCTCTCTCTCTCTTTGTCTGTCTGTCTCGAGACGAAATGCACGAGTCCGCGGCGAAGAAATGTATCCTGTACCCTATATCCTATATCCTATAGCCTATTCATATACCATACACCATCTCCTGGCATGCACAATAGTCTCCATACATACATGCATCATACACATACACAAATCTACAGACATATCTTCATATCTATACACACGCACACACACATATATATATACATAATCCCCAAACCGTCGTCTTCTACAAATCTTTCGCTAACTTACTACCCGCCGCTTTACTCTCCGGATAACGACTACTTAGCCGACTCGCTCCCCGTCCGCCCCATTTCTCCCTTCCTCTCTTTCGCGCTCCCTTTCTACTCCCCTCTGCTCCCTCACGTGCCAGTGAGGCTCCAGTCTCACAGGCGCTAACGTTACGTCTATCTAGCCTTACGGTATCTTTGCCCGATCACATCTATGATGGCCCGTTTCGGCCCTGAGCGAGGTCGACGAGGAATTGACTCAAGATGAACCACCAACGCGGAAATTCACCATTATCAGCGACAACCAGTCAGCACTCAAGCGCTCGCATGGCCATCGAGCAAGCCTGGACAGGCGATGGTTCACCACATACTGGTTCAAGCGAATAAACTCCAAGAACATCAAGTCCAACTGCGCTTACAATGGATCCCTAGTCAACTGTGACAATCTTGGGAACGAGCAGTCAGTACGGAGGAAGACCACGGATCCTGACACTTGGTGTCCGAGCTCAAGAGAACTAACCTGTCAGGAACGGCCTATAGAGATAGGCAGAGGGTAGCGATTGGTACAGGTAGGTATAGGTATTCCTTGATAGTATACATATCTTAACTGAAAACTCAAAGTATGAGGGAAGGAAGCTTCCCTCAGGCGGTGAGCATGCGGTGCTCAAATGTGACTGGCAGGGATGCCAAGGACGTGTAATGACCGTCACGCTAGTCCTCGGCCGAAGGCCTTCGGACTAGCGCCGGTAGGGCCCTGTAAAATTACTCGAAGGTATATAGTCAGACGGTCCCCAGGACCTAGCAGAATTCACCATGTTCCTCCATTGAGTCACACAAATAATAAGGGGCTGTCACGTGCGAGTTATACTTGGCGGTTCGTGACATAGGCGCCGGGCAAAGTCTCCAGCACTACTATAGCCCGCTGCACCTGCCAAACCTGTACACTCTGGAGTGGGAGAGAGACTGGGACAAGGAAGAGATGTTTGGGAATCGAGAAGGGGATTGGGAGAGGTCATTCAGGATGCTCAATTGTATTGGATAAGTGACCTGCCCATAGAGAAAAGAAATAGAGCACGAAGCAGGAGAAGAGCGAGTTATTACCCACATCTCGAGATGACGATTGTTGAATTGATGGGCCTTTTGTTGGCCGTTAAATGCAGAGATCTTCAATTGCCGTCTGGTTCTGCGCGTTAAACTGGACTCTCGAAATTTGTTGAAGAATTAGTGGCAATACACTTCCTTTCCCAATCCTGGCCCAGCATCGCAATTAGCACTCTTAATGGGTTGGTGCCTGGTACTAGGGCACCCTTTTCACATACCGCCATCTCATTTCAAAAGAAGGTTGAACCCATCTTTTTCAATTTGGTCGATCACATCTCTGATCACGAACCAAGGGCTCGACTGATATCGCGTCCACCAAGCCTCCAAACCTTCAAAGCCGTCGAACAGATTTATGCCGTAGAGATCTTCCATGGACGTCTTGGCGGCCGCGGCCGTGATATCTGCAAGGGTGGGCCGGTCGGCGCCAACCAGACTGACTCCCTTTGAACATGTATTGGTCCAAGACTGCAGTGTCGTCAACAGACGGCGGTATTGAACTTGAGCGTCCTCCCCCGCCTGAGGGCTCTGCTGTTCCTCTGTCATTCCACTCCACCCAAGACTGAATGCCGTGAGGTGTCGAACATAGACGTTGCACCAGGTCAAGACTTCGTTGATGAGTTGGACGATGTCCCTGACTCTGGCTGCTTGGAAGGCGTCGTCACCCCGCAGACTGGGGTGCCCGTCCGACGCTGGAAGTAGGTCTTCCAAGTACTCGAGGATGCTGCTGGACTGGGCGATGAATTTGCTGTGGTTGGAGGATTCGAGGTCTTGTATGCGCAAGACGGGAAGTGAGAAGCCCTTAGGTCTTTTCTCGTGGCCTGGGATGGCATCCAGAGCCAGATCTTGGGACTTTAGGTCGACAGTGCAGGGGATCAGAGTCAGCCCCAGACGGTTGAGATGGTCGGCTGTTACGGATTTCGCTTTGACGTAGTAGGCAACGCGTCGTGGGAATATGCCACCAGGCCAGACCCAGAGAGTTCGGACCGAACGTGAAGCTGTTTGATCACGGGCCATCTTGGCAATGCTGGTCTGCAAATGAATAACTGGCGAGAGAGGAAGAACAGAGATAGACAGACAGACAAGGCATTCTCGATGGTTCGGAGTTCATTGTACCTTTTATAAATCGGTTTGCTCTGCGTGCCTCGCTGACTTTTGCATCGACGGAGAGATTTTAAGAGTTCGACATATCTCGGGTACTTTGCGGCGTTTGGCCGCAAGTAGTTGTCACGCTCTGGCAGAGACATGTTTCCCTGCGGAAGGCGGAGATCCTATGTCTCCGAGAATCTCAATCCATGAGCTTTGGTGCCTTGAACAAGTTCTGTCGCTGCCATTAGTCGGCAGAACGCACGACTCATTGTGGATCTTCCCGGGGAATGAGGTCACGACACGCGCATGGGGTCTTCATTGAACGATTCTTCCGAAGCGTCGTCCGCTGGCGTATATAATGCTTCTACCGGTCAGGCGTAGTACCTAAAGGTGGAAGCCGTAGACCGTATATTTCTAACGAAATGAGAGAGTAGAAAGTTAGTTAAGTTTAAACGCCATATGATGAAGGCTAGATAGCACCCTGAGCCTTACATAGGCTTTGCGTATGACTAGCTCGAGACTTCTCGCAGTAACTACCTAAGCCCCCGGAGAGTTATCTCCAGCTTGACTTTGCCCCTGTTCCCGCATGACAGGCCAGTAAGTAGGGCCGCCCTGAGAGGTAGTAAAGTCTTGCTCCTAGTGAAGTAGTCCTCGAATCATGTCATGAAGTTTCGTCCATACGGCCAAGACATGCTCAGTGGGCCTGACCTCGAGAGTCCCGGATTGCTATACCGTATGTCTCCAGCAGGTGGCGGAGATCCAGTTCCATAGTAATTAGCACCTGCCGTGGGGGTGTTACGTTGCTAAAATGGGCCGTAATCGAGCGCCAATCCTGCTGATCGAGAAGTAACTTTTCACGAAGAAGAAGGCTTTCAAGCAGCTGTACCATTTGTCATTGTCATTTTCTTTTTCCTGCGTAGCAAAATGGTCCGGGACAGAACATACGACAAAAATGCGAAATCCGAGATAAAGATTATGGTACAGGCCATCTTTGTAGAAGTCCGGATTCTTTCGTCGAATACGATGGGTAACCCCCCAGGCATGTATGGACCAGCCGAAAGGCGACGTTATCAAAAGAGCCTATCTATGCAGTTAGAATTTTTGTTGGGATGGAAACGAGCCCGAGAGCGATTTTACCTACTTCTGTAAATGCGAGACACTATACCAGACACTAGGAGCTCATCATGCGAGACTAATGTATCATAAGATAGGACTTTTCGAAATCTGCGGAGCGCATCAGAGTAACATGACATGATCTCAGATATCGTCGCAGATTCCGGACTGACTTTCATCAGAATCACTAGTGAGGTTACCCTCAAGACTGGAACAAGGGCTTCCGCGCGGTGCGTCGATCGGCCAGTGATTTAAGGCAGGTGTAGCACCCATGAACCGCAAATATAGCGCGGGAGACGCCAAAAAATCTGCTCTTCCTCGATTCGGATACCGGCGGGGCGGAGCATTGTGAAGCCTAGACTGTCGATGTTGTCGTTTGTCACATTCGGAGCTTCTGATGGATAATGGTTGTTGTCCTGGTTGGCAATTCGAATGATTAACGAACTTTTGTTGACTGATGATAGCCCGGGCAGTTTCTACCGGTATACAAACACTGCGAACAAGCTGGTCTCATGAAATCACACTGAGGAGAATGTGATCAGTACCTGCATGCTGATGCATAGATCGATGACTTACGCCGATCTTGTGCAAACGACAAGCATAGCAGGCGGCGGACTTCTTCGGCATCTGGTCTGATAGTCGGGACTCAAACTATGCAGAAGGCGACCTCAGACTTTGTGGTGTTGAGGTGAGGAGGCGTCTTTTTTTCATTTCCGCGGGGATCGTGTATAAATCTGCAAGCTTATGATAAGCGACGAAAGTCGATGCTCTTGGCGGTCACGGCTGCCATGTTTGTACTGACTCCTCAAAAGAGTTTCATGTATCAATCTTGGACACAACAAGATAAGGGCGAGCAACCGATCGTCACGCAAGGTAACGACTGTTTGGCTCATCCTCTGTAATCGCCTGGTCTTTTACACCAGAGAAGCCTGTTGGAATATGCTCAAGCAAAGAATGTGGTCATAGAGCACGGAAAAATGTCGACGAAGGCATTTACGCAGGATGTCGGATCATTATGCTGGCGTTACATTAGGCAATAGTATGCCAAGATGGAAGCCCGGAAGCCCGGAAGCGCCAACTTTAGAGGCTAAGAATATATGATTTTGTCTCAGAATCCTCACCAACAATTACAAGGGAGCATTCCCCTGTGGCGCAGTATGTTGTTCCTTGCAACAACCCGTTCGGAAAAGTTGTCACTAACAAAATCTCAGATTGGCTAGCGCGTCTGACTGTTAATCAGGAGGTTGGTGGTTCGAGCCCACCCGGGGGAGTTTTTTTTTTTTTTTTTTTTTTTTTTTTTTTTTTTTTTTTTTTTTTTTTTTTTTTGACGTTTCGTTTGAAGTTCGATCTCCGTTCTGGCCGATGATGACAAGCCTCAGGATAAACCGCTTCGTTCTTTTTTGATCTTGTCAGGTGCCAGCATCTTTCATCAATGCCTCGTAGTGTTTGTATTCCTTTACGTGACCACCTCACGCGGGTGAGACCGTCAAGGTCAGGGTGGCTTGGAAAGAATCTGGCGGCATGACGGACGTCAACGGCAACGGCAACGGCAACGGCAAGAAGTCCCAAGCAAATAACAAATGCGACCACTGCTGTAAGGTACATCTAGTTGACGAGAGCTGGAAGTTACGCCTTGACCTCATAATCATTAGAATCTGGCAAGTCTGATAAGAACGATGATATTTAAGGAAGAAGCTAGGACTGAGCAACAGAGGCTCCGCAGCCTTACCTGTACGCTTGGCGGTCACATAAGAAGGCAACTGCCTGGGACAGTGAATCTAACTAGGCAGTGAATGGTACGGTAACCGTAGGAGGCTGGATGCGCACAAACACTTGCGAACATTTGACCCCTTTTCGGTTGTTGCATGAACCGAGAATTTCAAAATCCAGGTTTCGCGAATCAAATCGGTCAATCCGCGATGGCTCCGATATATGTGCCTGCGCCTGGGATGGCTGCAAGGAGAGACTTGTTTTAAATGACCTTCCCCTACATTGCGAGACGCGGCATAACATGAAAACAGGCTTCGGTTGCAAGGATTGTGGCTACATTGATGAAGCGAAAGATAAAGTCCACTCTCATATCCTTCGGGAGCACGGACGACAGGAAGAACCAACTCGAGCATCCAGGGGCATTCGCCCTCTATTCACGCACACGATATCAAGAAAGTGACCCCGTCTGCGCGTGACATCCCACGGGCCGGATTCTGGACCAGAGGCAGGAACAGCACATTTCAGTCAGCTGAGAATTCCTGCCCGGAGTGTGGCACCCTCATCGCACCATACACGAAAACCGGCATTATAGAACATCTGCGTGAGAATCATGAGATAATCGTCGATCTGAATTATATATAAATACGCAACCGCTACGCTGCCCGCCAACGTGTCCAGCCATTAACCGATACATCCCATTCGGTGACGGATCTCGAAGAGCTCGAACCGCATGACACCGATGAAGATGATAGGATGAATTGCTGCGACGGAGATGGGGAAGATTATGACGAAGCACAAGAAGAAACATCAGAGAAGTTGTTGGCTGTTGACGGAGAGTACCGGGAGCGTATTCCTCAAGGCACTGAAACAGAGATGCAAGAGTCTATTACGACGTCCAAATCGACACAGAATCGCATCCCAGAGTGTCTACGCGACATCCTCATGGGTTGCATTAAAGAGAAATGTGTTGGGGATGTGGAGAAAGACGCTCGAGACGTATGAGACCAGGACTCTCGCAGATGGAGAATACAGAGTCAATAAGAACTTACCGCACCGCCCAATAAAATTCGACCCAGAGGATATTGTCCACGCTAAGCGTACTGACGTTGGCTGGCATTGCGAAGTCCCGCAGTGCGAAGCGACTTTTCCTGGAACTTTGGCGATCGACATCCATCTTCAGTCGCACGGTACAATAATCAAGTGGTATTGCGGTGACTCCAGCTGCTATACCGGTGTTGAGAGAGCATTCAACGATCGTGCCAGCTTCGAGTTGCATGTAGCTACTGAGCATATGGGCTCTGAATATAGCACCAAAGCTGGGCGTCGAGTTCCGAAGGATGATGTGCTATTCACCACTCTTTTGAAGTTGCTGAAATTCAAACACTTGCCGCTCGACCAGCTAGCGGGCAAAAACGAGATAACGAAAGCACCGACAGCCTCAATCGAAAAAGAGGTCGACGTGAAACGTCGACAAGAATCGGAAAGTGATTCAGACGATGAAATGCGTCAAGAACTTCGCGCATGGGGCCAGGTTTGCTAAGTTCACAGGCTTGGATCAGTCGACAACCCTAAGTTTCTCCAGCACACCTCTCCGTACATACACATCACAATACTCGGTACACATCACACATCTATATTCATGTCCACATCCATGTCCTTGGCCATGACACCCGAGTGCCGTTGAAAATGAACATGAAAATGCACAAATAAAAACCATACCGCCCCCTCTCTCTCACATGTCTACCTCGTTTCTACTTCTGTCTCTGTCTCTTACATACGAGGTAATTACAGCTTTAATATTTACACAATGGGCTGGGATATTGACACTGTGTCCAGCTATGCATCACCGTACTCGGGACTCGGGACTCGGTTCGTCGGGATAATATGCGTGTCACCTGGTAAATGCTCCGACGTATCATTCGGCATCACGTGCCTAACTCCGTACGGCGTTAGTAATACATCAATTAATGCCCATACACAAATCCTGCGTTCTATATCGAAATTCCAAATGCACCATGCACGCTCCACACAAGCAAAAGAAATATGGTCCATTTTTAGTCTTCGTCCAGGTACAGTCTGAGAAGCTAAAGATACAATATGCCATATAGCCAAGAAATGGAGACGGGGGTATCACATCTCGAGGTCAACATCCCAACAAGATCAATCGCAGTTCTTGTCCACTCCTGAACCCAGTGCAGTGCAAAGTTGTTGAGCCCCATGTTGCCGGACATATGCAGACGTAAAGTTTCGCAGTTGTTGCTCATACCATGCAAACTATCTAGTGACGGGCCTTTCAGCATTCATGCAAACAGAGCAATTGGTCTCGCCCATGCATCTCCCAGAGTTTTCACCTATCCAAGGCCCGGGGAAACCAACAAATGCCAAGAAGCCTCTCGTCAGAATTATCATAAAACTCGTATCATTATCGTTGCTTCTGGGGGTTGCTTCCCGTCATCTTCCAGCTTCAAGCTGCGAGGGCGTAGGCAGGGCTTCCGGAGCCGCCGTTTGTGTCTGGGCTGGTCGACTTAGACCTGGTATTCTGAAGCCAAACCGTGGTCTCCGTGACGACTGAGTATCGACGCCTTCGTGACCCGCAGCCGTATTTGAGCTTGGTAATCTGTCTCCTTGCTGCCTCCGACTTTGTTCTCGATTTGACTGATCTGTCCGCTCCGCACGTACCACAAGTGGAAATCCATGTCGATCGCGATCATGATACACGATGCTCATAAATCGCCCCGGTATGATCATTGCCGGTCTTCGGCCTGGTCGACCATTTCCGATGATTGAGAATGCCGTTGGAGGCGGCTGCAGGTTTGTTGGGTGCACTTCGGCACCTTCGGGTCGAGGTTTGGGGACGTAATAATCCGCTTTGCAGAGAGGACAACAGGCTCGGCGTGATGTCAACCAAGGATCAACGCAAGAGGCGTGGAATGCATGGCCACAGTGTAGCCCACGTATATCGTCGTCATCGTCGATATTGTCAATACAAATGGCACAAGCATCGCCGGGGTCAGGTAATTGCTCGGGCGGAAGGGCCGTCTGGATGCGTTCTTCGTCTTCGTCCTCGTCATCGTGACTGGTGACTTTGTGTACGGGAGTACCTGGTGTCACCGTGGATTGATTAGATTTGGGCCGGGACGGCGTAACTGGCCGGTTTTCCGTGTCACTCTTTTCAGCCTCTACAAGCTCTGGTTCGCCATGCTCGGGCGTTTTCTCCTCGGACGAAGTGTTTGTTTGTGCATGTGCCAATTCCTGGGCTTCCATTTCCTTTGACTCTTTGGAATCTCGTTGAGCATTGTGTATGCTAGCCGGTCGAGAAGCAGTAGTAATCCCTCCAGCAGTGGGCAGGCCTTCATCGGCACGATTCGAACGCCAAGTTTTGTATTTGGTCAGAGGGAATTTTTCGTTGACTTCCTCGATGGTCATGAGCTTCTTCTCGCGCCTGCGGCGGTGTTGTCGAGGCATCGCTGCGAGATCCACTCCGTCCGGATCTTCGCCATTCATGCGCTGTCGATTGCGCTGGTTATATCGGAAGCAGTATTTGACACCAACGATAATCCTGACAGGCACACACACAACAATATTAGATGATTCAGAGATGCCCGAAGTTAACTGAGGCTCACCATAAGTTTGTAAAGACGACACCAAAGCCGAGAGCGACGAAAAAGAGTAGTGGCGAACTAGGACCAGAACCTCCATTGCCACCAGGGTTCCCCGTTGGGCTCGCAGTGGACGACGCCGTCGTAGTTAATGTTGAAGAAGCCATCTTAGATGAGATATGATGGCGCAGAAAAAGTGTTCGGCAGGGTCGACGTAGTCAATGTGCAGATGGCGGGTGCGCAACCGGGTGCTGATGGGAGCATCTAAGCTGTGCCGGCGACCACGGATCCAGGAGGAAAGCACTGATTATCCCTCGAACCAGTCGTAGATGGGCAGAGACATGAACAGGAGGACAAAAAGGAGAGATGACGAGTCGCGAAGGATAGGGAGGAGTAGGTGGCGATCGATTTCGATGTATGCAAATCCGTAATCGACGAGGAGTGACGGAACGATCAATCGAAGCAAGGGTGAGATTAGGATTGGTCCTCGGGCGCTCCAATATGGGCCTGAATCCTCCCTCACACACGAGGCGGATTGAGTGACAAAAGGTTACGAAGTGAAGGGGGAGGCTGTTTCAAGGGGGAAGAAGCAACCTCTGCTTCGGAGACGGGATTGGCCCAGATGGCGGATGTGCAGGTCTTCAGTAGGGCGGTTTTGGATGCAGCATCCCCAATTAAGATGAAGGAGGATGTATTGCGGCTGCTGTTGCAGAATGATAGAAGATCGAGGTTAATGGGAACGGGATGAACGAGGTAATAGTGATGCAGGAGCTGGAGAAGAAGAGGGTGATGGCAGAGGGTGAGGATGGCGCAGTTGGCAAGCTGGTGATGGTGGTGCCAATGCTGGTTCACGAGACCAAGTCCGAGGAAAGACTGCGCGCGCGCGGGGGAGAAGAGAGAATATTGAAGGGCTGGGCTGGGCGGGAGAACTGCAGTGACTGCGATGCTCACACCTGCGGAAATCCGGTTTAGTTAAAGAAAGCTACTCGGCGTCCAGGTGCCTAGCACTGCCTAAGTTGTTTAGTGAGGTCCTCGGTGGTCCTCCCCAAGCCCTGGCTTGCCTGGCTGCGGGATGGCCGGGATCCCTGCATCATGATTCATTCATACTTTCTTCTTCTTCCTGCGCCACATCCACATCCACATCTTCTATACCGAGTACTTCGTAAGACATTTGATTGACCAAGGAACAATCGTTCGATCATTCAATATCTCGATGAAATCCTACTCACTCTCTTTCCCAGCACAACTTCCTCGATACAACCTTGCCCTGACCACCGCCCACTCCCCCTCGATCCCTACGGCCACCCTCCGTCCTCACGCCCTTGTCGCCACCCGCACCTGCGGCACGGAAACTAGAGACCAACGCCCACGCCTTCCCGGCCTCTCACGAATCACCTCTCTCGCCCACAGCCGCGGCTTGCGACGCCTGCGCACTTGACCTGCCTAGGTGCGAGCTTGTGTCTCTCGCTTATTCCCCGGCCCTTGGCCCTCCAGTGCTCGATATTGGGCGATTGAGTCTCTGGGATTCGTCGAGGATCACTTGACCCTACAACAATTTGTACCTTGCTCTAAGCGGGCGCGGGGTTTTACAGCGCGGTGCTTGTTGATCAGTAATAATGATGTAGTACGCAATGGATTCAAAACGACCTGGCCATAGCTACAAGTAGCAATTGTTGCGTATCTCTGGCAGCCAATGTGCGTCAAACCATCTTGTCCCAGCCACCCGCTCCAGATCCGGATTTGAACACAAACCATCATCCCCTCCCAAGGGAAATGCTCCGATGATTGGGTCTAGACGCTGTTCTTCTGGCATCGCACAACACATCAGCCCTCCCAATATTTGCTCTCCACAAGAAGTTTAAACCACCGAGTGCTGGGCACTCAGCCTTCTCGGTCAATATGTAACTTTGCTTCCTTTGCGATATCCGCCTTCCTCTTCGACATCGTCGTCCAGTGCATTCATCTCCTCTTCCCTTTCATTCAACCCATGGAATAGGATCCAAATCAGGCATCCAGCGCAGAAGCTCGCAATGCAAAGTCCCACAAACATCCACAGGATGGCAGGGTCATAAGCCACTGGCGTCAGTGCCTCTCCTAGCGCGGAACCAAACGCATTGGTAAGGAGATAGATGGATTGCACAAAAGACTTCATGCTCGGGGGAGCCTTTGTGTATGCGTACTCCAGACCTGTCACTGAGGCGAAGATTTCGGAGATACCGATGAGCATATACTGTGTCGGAGTGTCAGCCTCTGAACGTCGGTACCCAATGCGCGATCTGGTTCTCCACTTACAGCCGGGGCTTGGATCGCAATGTGCACATTGTTGCCCTCAGCGACGCCATCGACAAGCGACGCGTCGCACAGTGGCTGCTTATAACACGGTCCGGAGCTGTGGCGTCCCGTCAGCAAGAAACTCCGTCGCCCGTTCCGATCACTTACCTGTAAATTAGGTGCTGCACAATTGCGGCGTACATCATGGCAAGGGACGCGATCCAGAATCCCAAGACAATTCGATTGATTGGTGGGAAAGGGATGTGCATCTTTCTCAAAAGAGGGTAGACGAATCTATCCAAGATGGGCACAAAGACAATTATGGAGATCTCCAGGCAGACTCGTGAGCATTCTCGTTATCTGAGAAGGAAGGTTCCCTTCCCAGAGCCGCGTACTCACCGGATCAAAATTCTGCATCAAGTCGTTGGGAATTCCGTGTCCTCGCATCTGACCGGCTTGGGTGACAAAGTTGCCACTGAATTGTCCGTAGACACACCAGTCTAAGCGTGTAGCATCAGCATGTTTTCCTCCTTTGCTCGATGTGCAAAATGAAATCTCAATCTTTACTTTCCAAGGGTGAACTTACAGATCGGATAGATGACAAAGACCCGGCAGGCGACCAGCGCTCTCTTCAACTCTTCGATGAAATGGTCGTTCCACGGGACCGTCTTGTGAATGCCTCTTTCCGCCATCCAGCTCGGCTTCGGCGCATTTTGGTCACGGTGCTTGATCATGAGCCAAACTGCCTTGAACGCGTCCGTGATGATGGACCCCTGGGGTGGCCGGACGACGTAGATGTTGCGCCCCATGATGAGAACCGCGGTGCCGGCGCAGAACATGCAGAAGCAGAGCAAGTACGCGGACCAGAAGCCGACGTCGCGTTCCATGTACGGCGTCGCCAGGAGAGACAAGGCACCGATGTTGATGCAGGTGTAAAAGATCATGTAGATCCGCTGGATGGTCACGGCTGGGTCGATGATGATTCGCTCGCCTTTCGGAGTGGTTGACATCTTTCTTGCGTCAGTATTCTCCTTTTCGCCCAACTATGACCATTGAGTGCTCGGCTACTTACGACCATTCTCCTGCGCTTATACTGGTCCGCAATCAACGGGGCAACATTCGACTTGATACCTCCAGTTCCAATGCCGATAACGATGATCGCTGTGATGAACCCGCCGAGGCCGGCCCCATTCTGCAGGGAGACCGGCAATGAAGTCGTAAACAGGATCAAAAGCCCAATCAGGTAGACCACGCAGAAGTAAAGGATGGCTTTGTACTTGCCCAGGTACTGGTCGGCAACGATCGCACCCAGTATTGGTGTGACGTAGCAAAAGAAGCTGGTGTGAGGGTTAGCTACAAAATTGACAGCAGGGTGATGATGAAGGGAGGCATTTCTCACTTAAAGAAGGTAGTCAGTCCTGTTGCGCCTTGATGTCCCATTCCCAGGGCACCTCGTCCCTGAGATCCATCAAGCGGTCGCTGTACATAGTTCTGTCAAGACGTTAGCCAAATCTCCGCGTCACTTGGATACGCGATGTGAGTGTCCTCACCTGGAATATACCCTGGCAACCGTAGAAGGTGAAACGCTCACACAGCTCGACAAAAGCAACCAGGAAGGTGGAAAAAGGGAGGCTTTCGCCAACGTGACGCAGATGTTTCTTCTCGTGTTCGTTTGGCTCCAATCCGTCTTCGGTTTGGCCAATCTCGGTATCCTCGCTCGGGGAATGTGGTCCCTCCCTGTCACCGATGAAGCCGTGCTCTTTAAGAGTTGGGAGTGCCTTTGTATCTGCCGTGAGTGGGCCCCCAGTGATGTCGTGGATGGCTTTCACAGAATCATCATCCACTTTGTGTTTCTCCCCGTGCAGTCTTGGAAGGGGTTTCGGTCAGATTGAACATGGATTAATTGAACTGGTTGGAGGATACGTACTGAGCGGCCGGAAACTCGTGTTCGGCCATAGTTTGACTTCAGGACTTTCTCGTGTGATAACTGAGGTGAAGGTATATGCAGAGGAAGTAATGTACGAGAGAGAAAAGGATGTAAAGAGATCATGAGAACGTGGAGACCCAAGGGGATTATCAGACGCAGGGCGACAAGATGCGGAACTCGACCAAAAGCACCAACCTCACAGGGTATGTCCCCCGAACATACATAGATTATCATACGACTATGCATGTACTCAACTCGCAGATCTGGACAGAGGTCGGCCATCGTGATAACGACCCTGGCCAGGAACATGAGCCGCCACAGGAGGGTTGCAGGGTGCCGAGAAATCCACCAATACCAGGCATTGCAGTTGTAAACATCTACTACCCTTCGTTGCCACGGATCGTACGTGCTCCATCTGCCAGGATGGACGATGCGATAGTCGATGCAACAGTGACCCAGTGATCGTCAAAGCCCACCACAGGTCGTGGTCACGAAACGGCTCTTGGCGCAGCAAACGTCGATGCTCGTGGCATGATAGCAACGGTCAGAAAAGCTTCCCATTGCTTGACGTATACCAAGAAATCCCAAGAGATAGCAAGCGAAGCGATGAAAATGCTTAACGGTGCAGTGCGGTGCAAGGCAAATAGTGTAGTTGGATGGTTGTGGTGATTTGCCGTCGTCAAGATGAACATCAAATGCCAAGCCGGATAAAAGGCACCAGCAGCCGACAATGATGTCATTGTTGCAGGACGAGCTTATGGTTGGTGCGCCGCCCTTCCACCCAAGGCATGATCGAAACGGGCACGTGAGGGGCAACAGTGCGAGGTCCTGACATGGTGTTATCGACAGGTATCCGCACGCAAGTATTTCGGAGACAGGCTGTACATAGAATAAACACAAAGAGAGACACGGGAAAGCATACCTTAAAAAAAGCCAATATTGCTTCTAACCAGTAATATTCTGAGCATATCTCCCCACTGTCTCCTCCCACCAAAGAGGACCTCCCAACATTCCCCTGATCCACGGCCCTTCCTTGCCCCCTGAAAATCCCTACAGGTGAATGTCTTCTTGGTGGTAGAAGGCGCCGTTGTTGAGTTGATTTGTGCCAAAGAGATTGGTAGGTTTCTACTCGTCAAAGTGTTGGATGAGATGGCTTGCTTTGGAGCATTCTTACCTGGAGGCTTTTGAAGAACGTTTGTCGAGGTTGTTTGCAGAGAATGTGGAGATCAAGGTCTTCTCAAGTAACGCCGTCTTATAGAGGATCCAGAATTCATAGCCTTGAGATCCAGAGTGTAACATATGTCAGGTTTCCTAGTACCACGGAGCTCTCTTCAGAGACCAACTAGTTATTGTACATACATAGTTGTGAGGACCCTGAGGACCTTCAACATACCACACCACCACCCCCTGGCCCCCCTTCCCTACGCCGACAGGCTCGCCCAGCCATTCTTCCAAAGATTCTAGTGAAATTTGGAGCAAGCCGGTGGCTCATCCCACGAGAACCAGCTATTTCGAGCTGGAGGAGTCAGACACCACGACTTTGGTGTCAAAAAGTCCGACATGCAACACTCCGCCTTCTTCCATAGATTGAAATCGTCTATCAAGAGCCTGCCATTGTAATCCCTAGGTTTGGTTCCGATCTCATCGTCGAAGAACTTGAAACATTCCACGGTGAGACGACAGCACTGCTCTGGGAACGGTGATGTGGCAGATCGAGAAACAATTGAATGGTTTTGAGAGTTTTGAGCCACAGAGATCGTGGCTAATCGGCGTCGATGAATGTCGTCTTTGATGGCTGTGTAATTGACCTCACTGTCCAGGACTAAAATTCTCCCCTGAGATTTACTGCGCGATGTGATCTTGGTGTTGCCATCTCTCGACCCATAATTCCCTGTTTCTGAAGGCCAATCCGCCTCGCAAATAATTGAGCTTTTGCAATCCCAATCTGGATGACCTAGTGGTGTGCAAAGCTGTGGCTCCGATGATGCAGCTGAGACTTGCTTGACGATGGCAGCAAGCATCACCAAGATGATAAGGATAGAAATATTCGCCATCACTGTGTTGATCAGCAAGGACGAGCTTTTGAGGTCGAAACTAGCACGAATGGTTCAGGTTGGTTTGAGGTGTTGTCAGAGCCTGGAGGCAGAACGGGTGTTGGTAATTTGCGAAATGAAGAAATGGTGAGCAGAGTCGCTTTCTTAAGTAATGCTCCCTTACAGAGGACCTTGGCTCATTCGCAGCAGGTCCTCAAGCTCAGTGACGGTAAGGTTTTCTTGGTCTGTGGAACAGTTTGCAGGGACATGGCGACAGAGGAAGATTCGTTTGGAACATTTTGGGACCTAGAGCAAATGCCGATGGCTCTTTGAGATCATTCCAATCGGCGTGCAACGAAGATTGGTTGGCGAAAAGTCCTGAAGACAACTGACTTTGGGCCGAACGCGACTTGGCTTTCCGTATCCTTTGGTACTGTGAGCAGTTGTCGACAGGTGTTCTTCACAGGTGTTCTTCACGGGTAGGATATTGCAGGTCTTGATGTTGCAATAACTCAGGTTGTGATTGATCTGATAGTGAAGGGGCGGCATTTGGCACAAGGTTACAAGACTCTTGAAGACCGCGGGACCTCTTTGCTGTCTGAGAGTTGAGGAGATATCTGAAATTGGCTTCCGCTGGAATTCCGCTGGAATTCCGCACGATTTTGTAGGAGTGAGGGTAGTGGTTGGTTGAATTGAAGACAGTTGTATTCTTTGACTTGAGGCCGAGTTCAGCTGAATGTGTGGTGCTCTGTAGGACTGACAGCAGTGGTTGGTTGTGATTGTATCCTTTGGCTTGAGGTTGTGATGCTCTGTAAGACTGAGAGCAGTGGTTGCTTGCAATTGAAGAAAGTTGTATCCTCTGACTTGAGTTTGAATTCGCTTGGGGATGCGATGCTCTGTAGGACTGAGAGCGGTGGCTGGCAGTGGTTGAAGAAAGTTTTGCATTTTTTGACTTTGGTTTGAGTTTGGCTTGGAGTGAACGCTCTGTTTTGACTGCGAGCAGCGGTCGACAGAATGTGGTTGAGAGACTTTGAATTTCTGAAGGACTCCTGATTGATCATGGTGTGGTGTGCATGCTCTATTTGACTGCGAGCAGCGGTCGACAGAATGATGATTGATGTGTGAACTCGTTGCCAATCCAATGTACCCAAGTCTTCAAGCCATCTCTTTCACACAGAGGAGGGGGGGGGGGGGGGGGCGGGGTCTCTTTTGCCTTGGGACAACCAACCCAAGTTTCCACCGAGCGCCGCGTGGAGGCAGAGACCATGCCCGGCATAAGAATACAAGATAATGATGGGACCCGCCCCTCTGTGTAATAATAATGCAAAATAAAGGCGCAACCACGCCGCCGAAAAACCAACTAGCGAGTTGGGGGCTCGCTGGAGTGAACATCACTCTGTAATATCCGTTAGCATTCCAGTTGCCTGCAACAAAATCAGACATGAGAATGAACTTACCCTTCCTTCTTCCTCCTCTTCTTCCACCTCCGCGACCTCGGACGGCGCCGCCTCCGTCCCGGGTTCTCCTCGGGCACCTACCAGATCCAACGGCACTGGTAGGGGAGGTCTCTCCCCAGGAGGATTCTGGCTCCTCCGAGGCCGCTCTGTCTTCTGGACTATCTAAGTCCGCACTTTCTCGTTAAACAGGAAAGACAAAACGCCCACCACCAAGGACAACACCGCCAGGACAACCACCCATTGCATGGGCTTCGTCCAGGGTGAGGCCTGGGATTGGGGCGGAGGCGAAGTCCCGGAGGACTGGTCGATTCGACTGTAGAACACCGGTTAGCTTCATATATGCGTATTTGACATAGATGTTGAGCGACTTGACGTACCTTGGTGCCATGATTGCTTCCCGAGGAAAGGGAAAGAAAAGAGGGAGAGAGCGCTGGGGTGCAGACAGGTATATGTACTGACCGCGGCCGCCGTAAACTATACCTGATTGAGATAAATGTAAGCAAAAACCCACTATGACTTGGGAGGACTGGCAGGTGCAGTCGGATCGCCAATCAGAGGGCGTCAGTTCCAATATCCGTCACCGCTATTGTAATTTACGCATCACCGTAGTACATATATGTTGTCACCCGCCTGTAAGATATCCAAAGGTGGCAAGAGTGTCCACCACGGAGCAAACGAACGTGAGAAGAGAAAGAACCAATCCTGACAAGACTCCAAGATCATTGTAGAGAATGATGATTGATTGTCAGAACTATTTAGGCCGTGTTTGTATCATGCACCGACGCATGAACGCCAGAGAATGAAATATACGTATAGCTATGCGAGCATTTTCCCGCCTTCAACCAAACGCCAGTGATGCTTGCACGTCCCTCGCCTCCAGCGCCTTGCAAACAACAGGTCATTGTGTGTACAAAAGAAAATGAAAAAGGCCCAGGCTCCAATCGTTCGAGCAAATTTCCATAAGTCGGTCATAAAGCATAGACACATGAGAAAGGGTAGAATAAAACTAGCGCTGAGATTGTGTTCTTTCTGGTTTCGAGGGACTGCCTGGGGGCTTCGGCGTTGGCTCCTCTTCGATGTTGATCATTTTGGTCGGCACGGGAGTGATATCCATCTCGATATCTGCAAAGGTGGTGCCCGGTTTCGGAGGAAATATGACGGGAGGTGTGATCTGGCCGCTGGGCGAACGGACAGTCTCCTGCTCAGGATGTGAATGCTGCGAGAGCTCGAGTTTCTTCCGCGGTTGGATCTCTGTCAATGCAGCCACACTGGGTTCCTCGGGAATTTTGAGATTCTCCATGCGCTCTTCGAGAACTTCCAGAGACCTCCGGAGACTGTCTGGCTCCGTTGACCTGTCCTCGCTCATGGAAATGACGCTTCCCCGGCTGTTCGTGCGCAGCATTTCAATTCCAAGTTTGGATGATGGCCGGGGTGGTTTACCGAGAGGTGACCGCGCTCGCACCTGGACGTCGCCCAGTTCCTCGTCTTCGTCATCTCCTTCTTCCGCTGCTCCAATGGCATGGTTCATGTTCTTCTCCAGTAGTTCTCGCTTCACTCTGACAGCCTCCGATGACTTTTGTCGCCGAGGGGTCTGAAGGCCATATCCGCCAGTGTCGTCGGTGCAAGCACTTGGGGGTGCAGACTCTGTATGGACAAGATGAGGATAACCAGACTGGATATAAGGCCGCTGTCCGAGGACAATATCGTCGGAAATTCCTAACCCGGCCTTTGCCCACTCATCAGTAGCGGCTCGAGAAACAATGACCGGAACGTCATCACTCTTGAAGGATTCCAGATCACTAAAAAACCCGCCACTGCCAATCGAATCTTCCCGACCTGACCCTCGGTATGATGAGTCGGGCATTGTCGGAGCCAGGCTCGAAGCAACAGAGCTGGGACTGTCTTGAGTAGGTATAGGATCGAATCGCGTGTTGAGATGTGGGATGGTCAATGGAACTGCCATCCGGAAGTCTTTAGGTGCGGGTTTCCAGGCACAGTACTTGGCTAACATCTCCGTCAACTTTTGGGTGGTCGGCGGTTTCTGCATGAGAGTGTCGAAGTGGTGGACTTCGGGCAGATCTTTCAGATATCCTGTAATGCAGACAATTGGAGTGCTGGTATTGGCACTCTTTGTGTCTCGAATCATGCGAGCAACGTCGACTCCGCTGATGAGGGGCAGCTTGAATTCCATAAAGATGGCATCGAACTGAATCTGGCTAATAGCAAGTCGTAGAGCATCAGGACCATTGGTTGCGGTGATCGTCCGGCAGCGCAACTTCTCAAACAGCCTCTCCATTACCATTCTGGACACCGGATGGTCCTCACAGATCAGGACATCCAAAGGTCGATAGGTAGGGCCTTCAAGAAAGTTGATCTGCGACAGTCTTCTCGAGCTCTGCCGCCGGCGTTGCACCTTGAGGAGCGCCTTCGCTTGTGCCGATTCATTGTCTGAGGACGATGGTGAAACGTCTCGGACGAGCAGTTGGCTCTTGCGCTTATGATGACCAGGAACGAAAGGTTCTCGCTGAGGGGCCTGTCCGTCACTTTCCTGTGAGCCGACAGTCTGCGACCTTGTGCGTCCATTGACTGTCGCAGCGCGAGGTGGAGGCATCCCTTTTGCGGGAGAAACCGAAGGCATCCGAGCAGATTTGATGGGAGATGACGTTGCCGTCGGTCCGTGTTTGACGGCATCGTAGGGGATATCAAAAAAGCTACTTGGAGCAAGAGAACTGCTTCCTTGGGAGGAGCCAGACGTCTTTCGTCTATCATGGTGCTGCGCTGTGGAGAACTGAACCAAGAGGGGTGAGGAAGGCTGCGAAGGCCTGCTGGGGGACGAGTTGGATGTAGCCAGGCTCGATGGAGAGCCCGGCCTGTGACCCTTGCTGATGGACAGTGCCCGCTTAACTGGCATCGGCATCATCGGACTGCCTTCAAGGGATGGTCCTGGGGATCCTAGCGCTGGACTGTTGGCGGCAGACATAGCTTGCGAATGCGCATAGCCTCTAGCTTGAGCTTGCATTGCTTCTTTCCTCATCCTCTCGACTATGTCCTTGTTGGCCTTCTCCAGTACGGGCAAGTTCTTGAAGGTGAAATTGCCAAAGTCGTCAGCGATGACAGGTTCACTCAGCCTGCGATTGCGGGAATCGCGTACCAAATGGGGAGGAATATGGAGAGGCATGAGGCCACGCTTAGCAGAACTTGCTTGCGTTCTGGCTCGGAAAAGTGCATCGTGGGGACGATTGGGATAGTCCGAACCATTCGGCGTTGTACCTGCGGGTGAAATTTGGTCTTCCAGTTCTTCAGGGAAAGACGACAGGGTGGCCCCACGCGAATCAAAATACTCGGTGTCCTCTGGATGCTCTGGGTTTGGAATAAACTGAGCTTCATCTTCCAGGAGCGTTTCCCAGTGAATGTCAGCAAACCAGGGATGTGCTTGGATCTCAGCGCCACCGCTTGGGTACTTCTCGTCCTTGTTTGCACCCAGCCTTTCTCTCGGGTCGAGTTGGATGAGCTTGTCAATGAGATCTCTTGCTTCTGGGCTTACTTCGACTTCGTCGTCCTCGGGCCAGGCAATTCTCCGATTTAGAATATTGTCAAATACCTTCTCCGGCGTCTCGGCGTTGAAGGGTGGGAAACCATAGAGAAATTCGAACATAATGCACCCCAGAGACCACCAATCACACATTTCATCCTGTACGGTGCCGTTGATGGTCTCGGGAGCTAGATAATCCGGGGTCCCCACGAAACGACGATCACTTTCTTCAGGCTCAAACAATGGAGGAGCCAACATCTGAGAAGTCAGAGGAGCGGGTGCGGTCTGAGAAATATTACTCATCGACTGTGACAGTGGGAAAAGATCAGGAGATGCGCTGCCCTGGCTGTATGCTTCTTCTTCGATTTTGCGCGGGAAAATCTGAGGAGGGGATTCAATGTCTTCCTGCACGCCGAGCTTTTTGAAAAGTTGATGGAGATCGAAGCTTGAGCCACTACCACTATCGCTCCGATAGCCGGAATTCCTCAACGACGTCTCTCGGCTTAGAGAGCTTTCTCTATTCAGGCTGAAGTAGGATGGTTGATCAAGACCTCCGGTAAAAGCAGGCGTCATGAGAGGTGTCGGCGCCGGCGAATGGGGTCCCTGGTAGTCAAAAGAGGTGGATCGCGAGGTCGGATTCGACCCTGAACCGTTCTGAGTGAATGGCCCCTGCTTCAAAAGATCGGGGACGGCTTCATCGGGCTGCTTCAGTGCACGTTTCTGTCGACCAACAAGACCCATACGAGACAGACCAAAGTCGGTAAGCTTCAGGTGTCCTTTGGAGTCGATCAGAAGATTATCTGGTTTCAAGTCACGATGGACGATCCCTCGAGAGTGCAAATGTTCGACGCCGAGAACGACTTCAGCGATGTACTTTTTAGCCCAATCCTCACTCAGACCTCCAAGGATCTTCACGAGGGAAGCGCAATCACCTCCATTCAGGTACTCCATCACCAGATAGAGATAATCTTTGCTGGAGAACGTCCAGTACAGTTTGGCCACAAAATCGCTCTCTCCCTGCCACATCATGATTGCACGTTCGGCCTTGACATTGGTGACCTGATTCTTTGCAATCATGTCGGATTTGCGGAGTACTTTGATAGCGAAGTATTCACCCGTGATTTTCTTTTTAGCCAGATACACACTTCCAAAGGCACCTCTGCTAATCGGTTTGATAATCTCAAAATCCTTTATTGAGGGTGGTTGTGCCCGCTGTTGTGGGTGAGAGATAGAGTTCAACCTGGGTGAAGCAGGGGTCTTCAGATCTGACGAATGCATCGACGACTGTCTTCTATGCAGATTCGGAGCATTGGTGGGAGGCACAAATTCTCCAGCCGTCAACAAGGGTGACACAACAGGTGACTGGGCTATTTCTCCGCTGGGGATTCTAGATTTGGTCATCCGCAATGGTGACGGAGGTGGCGGCGGGTATCTTCCTGGAGACTGCTGGCGATGAGGGGAGGCCGAATTAAGGCCATGAAGATGCATGCTTCGTCTCTTTCTGTCCCTGGATTGGGCGGTCCGACCCTGATCAGATGCAGAAGCTGGAGAGTCAGTGCGCCAATTGCCCGACAAAAAAGAAGGCGGTGGGAGACTACTGTCGCTGTCGTTGGCATCCTCAATGTACATAGAACGTCGGTTCGAGATGGGTTGGGGTTGAGAGATAAGATTGCTCCGGTGAGACTTTGGGGTGGGACATTCGATTGGGCTGCTAGAGCCGGTCGAAACTGCCTGTGACGACGATCGTCTTTTATCATTCCCCATGGTGATCTGGGGCAAGTCTCTAGGATTTCTGAGGGCAGAAGCCATTGATTTTAGTCCGACGTAAGATGTGCTGCGACTGGCTTCGGGCTCAA